TTATCTAGTGCCATGTCTGCTTGTTCCATAATAAACAACCCAGGTTCAAAGGAACAGAAAGAAGTAAAGACAAGAAAGGCCATTTCATGGAGGAAGGTGTTTTGACTTCATGGAGTAGTTCTCTGTGGAGGAGGAATTGCTCCTTTGGGAAGAGAGGTGGCAACAGACAGATGGTCTTTGCTAAGTGGTATTGACAGGTCTAGAGGTAATGAGTTGCTTCAATAAAAGAGGCAGTTTATCCACTGGAGTTTCAGTAGTTATGAGCTTAATTATTCCTGACATATTGCCATTTCATACACTCTCAATATATAGCCAAATAAGAAAGATAATTATACAAACTGGTGGCACAAAACTTAATGGAAACAATGCAGGCTATAAAACATCACCAGAGAGTGGGTTCTTCTTGAGCACATATCTATCTGTTCTAATTTTGCAAATGGTGAAGACCATACACTATTACAGTATGTTCTTAGGGACTAGATGATTTTTTTTTCCTATGCATTTAACTTTTATTTTACTGTTCCGTGGGTAAGTAAATGATTGGAGCTTGGAAATATTTTCATTATTCATAATTCATAGCTGTAAAGTCTTGTTGCCTTGGACACATATTATTTTGTTTTCGTGGAAGATTAAGTCCATTTAATCGTAGTAGTAGGTCAATTTGAAAAAGAAATGTTCATAAATCAAATGAAAAATGTATAAGCATTCCACTGCATAACAGACACAGCTGTGCTTTTATTTGCATATTACATATAATAAACAGCACTTCTAAAAGAAAGACTTTAGAAGAATACATTTCCAGGAAATGTTTCTTTTAATAAAAATCATCAGAATATTTGCCTAAGAATTTTTAACTTCAGATATTAGGCATTAGGAATTAGAAATACTAACTTTAATATTTAAGAAAAATCTGTGTGTCCTATGAAACAAACTTAGTTCTATGTGCACATGTGACATATCTTTAAAACTATTTATTAGCAACACATTTTTATACATGGCTTATCTGAATCAGTCTCAGTACTTTATAGGCATTCTAAAGCAATGTGGACTTCAAGATCACTTTGAAATTCATTTTTGGACTCAATTCCATTCACTCAAGAAATTTCTTGATTTTATTTTATTAGCAGGTTTAGCTTTGGGATAAAACATACTCATCCAGATGTTCCTTTAGCACTAGAGTGCTGAACCAGGGCCATATTATTTTTGTTCAACCACCTGTGTATTAGCATCTGTTTTCAATTTTATATATGCAGTTTTCTACATTGATTACCCTCACTTTCATTACATTACAAAGTAAACAATATAGCAACCACAAAACTCCTACATTCCAATTTTCTAGATTAGTTCGTTATAAAAATATACCACAGTGTTTACAGAAATCAAACACCTTCTATCTAAAAAAGATTCAAACAAGAACTTTTTATTCCAATATCCTAATTAGATCTAATTATATTAGATTGAATAGCAGTTTTTTTAAAAAGATTTTTGTGTGTAATAAAAATTATACATGGCCATTATCAGAAATTTAGAAAAGATAGCCATCTATGTTTTCTGTTTCTTCTTCTCTATGTGTTCACATGCAAGTATACATACTTAATACTTAAATATATATACTTCAGTATGTATATATACACAACACATATCTATATACTGCTTTTTTCACTTAAAATTTATCTTGAACATTTCTCTATAAGTAAGAAATTACTATTAAGACATGACATTTCTGCTTATAGGAAGAAGCTCATGGTTTTTATTAATTATTGTGGAACTTCATTATATTGTTAATTTGACACTAGAAGAAGTATTAACAATACTCAATAGACCATAATACTAATATTTAGTAATACTATAAATACTTGAACACAAACTGGAAAGCAAATATAATTACTTTCATAAGCAGTTTATTTTTGACAAAAGACTTCCTTTGTCATAATTCTTACTGTGTTCCCCATGATCTGGCTTTATGAGGTACAAAAACATCCATTTTTCTTTAAGGCAGGCTAAGTGAGGCACTCCAAAGTTGAAGAATCAGTGTCTTTATGTTTTAGCTCTCACAACAGTGATTATAAATTTTATAATATAATTACTATATGTAAACTCTATATTTATACAAAAATGTCTCAGGCCACAAATAGTTTTAGAATTATTTCTTCTTTCACCACACCTATGTCAAGATAAATTAACCTCAAAGTAATCTCATAAACATTTGTTGAGCACCCACAATATGCCAGACATAATGTCAGAAGATGTGGAACACAGGGTGAATAAGTATCTCCTTTTTCAGGAATTCAGTTCTACAAGGGAGATGACATGTGAAATACCAATTAATGCTAATGCAACTTGATAAGCAATAGGGATCTGTAAAAAATGCAATAAGAACACAGACAAGAAAATACTACGATCTCCCTGAGGGACAGAGGGGAGGAACAGAAGTAAGGGAGTGATATAAAAAAAAGTGCTATGTGAGTAGAACATTAAGGAATGAATAACGGTTTTCCAGGCAAGAAAAAAGGTAGGAATCCACACAGATGTAGAATCCTAAGTGCTTGTAATGCTAAAGGAATGGCTGGTATAACAGTAGTTGCCATCACCGATTTTAAGGAAGGGAACTGTCATGATCAGGTCAGTCTTTTTAAAGACAGTTCTAGGGGGACAGATTTTGCAGCTCTTTTCTCAAGCAAAATTGCAATTGGTGATAGTCCATGCATTGAGAAAAATAAGTTAAAGAAAATTCAGGGGTTTTGAGCTTGGGTAATGGTGTGAATGATGTGAATGGTGCCCCTTTTCATAGGAAAAAGGATATACATATCTAAACAGGACAATAACTTCGTATCTCATTGTAAGAAAGATTGTTCCAGTTTTACATAAATATAATAAGCTCACATATTTGGATTTGCTATTAGCAAAGTGTCATTTCAAACATTAACCTTGAAATTAGACCTCAATGAATTTTTTAATAATTGTTCTGTAATTATGAACATTCCTGGAGCTAGGGCTTAGACCTAATTATAAACAAATAAGAGATATTCCATAAATATAAAGTTACAAAACAATCTAGCATAAAATTTTAGCACCAGAGATCTGCTAATATTGTCTAGAAAAACCACTGTAACTACAAAGAAAAATACTTTTTTTTTTGGGTAAAGAGCTCTGTTTAAAACACACACATGCAGAAGCATGTGTACACACACACACACACACACACACACACACACACACACACACACACACACACACACNAACAAGCCTAGGAAGCTTTAAAAAAATTGACCAAAACTGCATTTCTACTGTTATATCAGACACTTGAAGAAAAATTCAGGGGAAGATTGTCTTACCGAGCTCCCAAAGGAAAAGAAAGTACAATCATACACTCTATGGAATCAAAGGAAAAGGAAAAGAATCTCTTTGTTAGCGTACCTTTAAAAAATCCACAAAATTACAGGGTTATTTCACATTCTTTGTGCATAGAGCAGCCATTTGCTAAAATAAACTTTGAAAGACAATGTAGTAGCCTGCTTGGAAAACTATGACTACAGGGTAGAGGGAACCGATAAGAGGAGCCTATGAAGATCTGTTTGGAGGATTTTTTTCATTGTAAGTTTAAAAATTTTCCACAGACCTATCCTGTAATTTTCAAACTCTGTATTCATTTTTAGGGATACCTATTAATAGGCACTCTAGCACTAATAACACTTTATTTTATAAACTACTTCCTATCCTTTAGAGTATCTTAAAATTTACCCACTTAGATGGTGTGCATTTGGATCTATATCACCAGATGGTTCTTTGGCAGGGAGTGGAGGTAAATGTTATATTAGAGTACACTGTCATAAAAAATTTTTAATAAACCTGTGCATAATTTGGAGACCTAATTATGGATAACCTAGAAACATAGGTTAAAAATATATTTCTTGGTGGAATACAAATGAAAATATTCTAATACCTCCTTGGCAAAGTATAATTTCATTTATAAACAATAATGATATTTTTTTATGGACTATTCCAAGGCAATTGCATGTAAAATGATGAATACATTACTACTTTCTGCTGTTTTCCCACCATCCCCCAGTCAATTTCTGTTGATTGCAATCCAACAATCCCCACACCCAAATACCACTGCCCCACATGACAGAAAATGTTCCCATCTTCACTTTTATATGAAAAGGTAACTTACCTTCTGAGAGATTCACCATTTTATCTAAGTTATTGAATTTCAACAAAAAGGGAGTAGGATTTTGTAACTGACAGATTATAGAATTTTTTATTAGACTTTGGATATTATTAGTTATTTCTCCTTGCTGTTTGGATCAGAAATTATTTCTTACCTTTGAATTTATTAAAGAATCATATTGAATATCTGTTTTTTTAGAAACATATATATGATTGAATCTGCCTATCTTCCTCTACCCCTTCCTCTGACAGAGCCTACGTGTTGTCTCGGCTTTTGGGACCCTTCTGTCCCCTCACTGGACAAGTCTTGGAGGGCTGTTAATCAAGCACCCCTCTCTCCAAGAGGAACCAAGAGGAGGGAAAGTGACCTGCTAAAAATATGCTCTTTCTTTCAGATATTCTTTTTGAATCTTGACTGCATTGACACCTGGGCTGAAAGGGGCTGGAACCATCTTATCTTGTTGATGGTTCTCTGAAGGTCATGTTTATTAATCTAATTCTTATTATCCCTTGAGCTGCTCTGATTCTAGTATTTTCTGAGGACTTGGCTCTTCAGTTTAAATTTCTTTTGGATTTTGCAAACTCCCTCTTTCTTGGCTGAACTAGCAGAGTCAGTTCCCGTTAATTGCAACCTGAGACTAGTAACCGATACAGGTTGGTAGACACTGTTGGTTCTCCACGAACGAGTCACACTCCCTTGCACAAAGTAGAGTTGTTCCTGGACAATGGTTGCTATGCTGTTAAGGAATATAGCTCCTGGTTCCCCTTTTGTCTAGGCAGGGCCATGAAATGAGTTCTTAACAACTGAACTAAATGAGTATTTATTGCAGGCTTTTGGCCCTGGTAGTAGAAAAGATTTTGCGTGGTGAAAATGGAATAGACTTTGCCAGAGCGTGGGCCACAGCTGCCTGGAGCAGAGCCCTCCTCACGTTGGACTGATGAGGGTGGGAAGCCAACATTTTCGTGGTAAGCCATTGATTTTTGGATTGATTTTTTTCATTGCCTATCATTATACTTTCATTATATAATTATCATTGTACTAACATACCAGAAAGTAACATAACTGAATTTTTTCAATATTAATAAGTTTTCACTTACAGTATATGATATTTATTTGTTGTTCCTAAAGAACTTTAAGAACACTTGATATACTGGTTTTAGTTGCAAATTATTATTTTTAAAACTGATTCTTCAACTTAGCAATTTAGCAAACCACTAAAAGTATGGAAAAAGATAGATAAAATCTCTTTTACAAAGTAGGAGTAGAGCTAATTTGCCAGTACACGTTGTTAGTGCAAGAAACCAAAGTTCTCCTTAAAAAGGTGAGTCAAAGTTGCTGAAAACAGGCTCAAATTTAAACTTCAAAAGAGTTTGATGGAACTTTTCAGAAATCATTGGAAAATCTCATGAAAAAGCAGATATAATGACTACAGTCAGTGAAGGGTCCCCAATAAACATTTTCTGTGTAGTCATCAATCAAAGATTTATTAAAATGTGAGTGTCTGTGCAAGTGAAATGCAAGTAACTCAGTAAAGTGCAACAAAGTAATAAAATATATCTTGTAAATTAGAGAAAAGTACTCTAACAAAAAGGAGAGTTTTGCATTTTATGCCCCTATAAATAATCTGTCTCAATGTAAAGGAGCCAAAAATGGGTTTTTCAAGTTTTTAACCATTATAACTAAGATGATAGCCCCAAGTAAGAGCGACAGACCTGTAGGTTAGAATTTTCTTACCTTACCTTATTACCTTGAAAGGTAGTGATCTTGGGAAAAAAAACCACTGACTCTAGTTTCTAGGGCTAAAGACTCATGAAATATTGAGAGATCCTGTGAGGTGTTCTTGGAGACAAAGGCAGAACATCAATATTCTGGCCCCATATATCTTCCAGAAAGCCTAAACCCATCCCTATTTTTCCTTCCCAGTGCTATATGGGAGCCTGCTCAAGATCTTTGATAATTGATATTGGGACTGGAATTAGGAAGTTCTAGGGATGAAGGAGGTAGGGGTTTTTAACATCCTTAAGAAATTGATAGAATTATTTCACAGGTCCTTTCCCAAGAATCTGGCTCTTAGAATTTGCACTGGTAGATTATCTTAAGTGCACAGGCAATAAGACCAAAGAGGGCACAGCAACATGTCATGTAATCAGATTCACTGTTTTGAACCACAGGCTATAATCAGGAGCCCAGTGCCTGCCACTTGAATTTCACACATTCAATTGACTTAAAATTGATCAATACTTGTGATATCCTGAAGATAGGCAGTCTGAATAACAAATAAAAGGCTTTTTGATGATAACCTTGTTTCCTAAATCAAAGGTTTTCACTACCTTCTCTAAGTGAAAGAAATATTCTTTTTTATGTATGCATGACAAAGCAAGGAACTCAAAGGCAACAGCAGCTTGCTAAGTGGTTGCACTTCCAGGGACGCTTCCAGAAAGGGAAGGATATGATGACCTTCAAAAGGTTTCAGTATTTGATTATCTGCAGGAGCAGTCTAATCAGTAGGCGAAGCTCTTGTATTTAAGCCAGACACTGGATGGAACTGCAACACTGGAATTCTTAAAAAGTATATATATGTTCCCCTTTCCCACAGTGCATTTTTTAGTGACAGAAAAGTAATTTGAATTGAGACTTTTGCTAACTGAACCTCTCTAAAACAACAACAACATAATGCATGTGGAGTCATCTGGAATAAAACCTTATTTATATGGCATCATCTAAATTCTAATAAACTAACATTTTTAAATCAAAGAAAGACATCTTTGACCGTGTACAGGAAGGACAGATCACTGTCTAGCTAAATTCTACTGGGTGGGCAGATCTCCAAATAGTTCACGTGTATATTTTTCACTGTATTGCTGGTAGAAATCATACTATTATTTTCCCCTTTTTATCCCCAGGATAATTAACTTGCTCATCACCAGGTTGGCTGGCTTAATAACAATACAATCTAGGCTCTAACCCCTTTAAGGATATTTTCCAGGCAAACGATACCACATTTAATGGCGGGTTCAGACAAAATTAACAAGTCAGTGTAATGAGGCTTCCAATCATCTGACAGAACTTTCTAATGTTGCATATATATCTTTGAGAAGAGAATTTTTAATATTGTACGACTGGCTAAGCAAAAGCTGTTTCTATTCAATAGCCATCTAGCTGTCTATCTTCCTATACTCAGGGGAAAGCAGCATTTCTCTCCAAAAAATGAAGAGAATATCAATGGGGCTAATCTCTTCAAAGTGCTTAGAGCTCAAAGCAATTGCTTGCAGTTGTAAGAAGTCCCCACCCTCATTATTTCAGCAAAAGATAAATGACCAAAATGCAAAATACTGCCTGGCTTTTGAGACACATGTGCTCAAGAGAAAGTTAAAATAAACATTCACCAACTTACTTCTAAGCTCGACACTTTGAAATTTAATTTACTCCCTTAGAATAAAGAGTCAAATTAAGAACGCATTCTTCCTTGATACAAAATGAGGAGTGAAAGTGGCACAAAATTAAACTACATTGCTCAGCGTCAAATCAATAGATTAATTTACATATTAGATACTACTGAAGTCCAAGAAAAAATGACTTCTACAATATCATTAAAAATGCCCAAGGATTATCAAACCATGAGTTACCTAACTAGTACTTTCCTAAGAATATTTCATATGAAAATTTACCCAATGTTCTAACCTCCCAAAAGTATTTGTAGAAACCACCAACAGAAGAAATTGGAACACATCTTACAAAACCATGACTATTTAATTTTAGAAATGACATAAAATATTTAGTTGTAATACCTCAAATGCAAAATCATTCTGATGACGTGGCTGCATTTGGTGTAACAAAACTGGCTCAGACTGCCATGCCACACTTTCCTACCATTTTTATTTCCCACCAATAGCAATACTCCTGTAGAGATTTTCTGACAGGGCGAGTGTTAACACATGTGGGGGGCTTGTTTCCTTTTTGCTCCCAGGCAATTCACCCAGTGGACCTTTCCTCAGGCAACTTCCATATGAACCACACAGAGTAAATAAAGAGGCAGATCAAATTATTACTCATGACATAAACCTGAAAGAAAGAGTTACCACCAGCTGGGGAGATTATTATGTACCTTGAGGTGTTGTAGGCTCTCCTTGAGAGACCAGGATTTTCCAAATTGCACCTTGCAACCAAGAACCAGATCATGAAAAGTAATTTTTTTGTAGCATCAAAATGGCAGAACAGAAAATATCTACTATAAATATTTATATACATATATATGTGTGTATACATACATACATATGTACATACATATATATGTGTGTGTGTATACACATACATGTATGTTTGAGATTGTGTTTTAGGGGTGTGATGTAAAGTGCATTTCTTACTGTGCTTATAATAAAGTTCTAATGTCACTGCTTTAGTTCCCATCCTTCCTGATGTTTTCATTTTCTCTGCCATTAAAGCAATGTCCCTCCAGCAGGGGTAGATACTCTCTGCTCCTGAGTTACTTTCATGTTACTCTAGTAGTTAAGGATGTTCCCCAACTGCCTAGCTCTTTTCCTTTCTCCTTCCTTTCTATTCTCCCTCCTTCCCCAAACACATGCATTCACAGCCATGTACCCAAGAGAAACCTGACACCACTGCCTGATGTAAAAGTAATCTTTCCCCTTTCTTGGATTTCATTCTGAGATGTGCACATGACACAATCCTGGCCCAAAAGATGTGAGGGAAGTCTACCTAGGGATTCTGAAAACCAGTTTCCTGTCTTCTGAGACCCATAGGAGAGACAGTCTCATCATTTGCCTGATGTTGCCTTGTAGTATCACCTGGGGGGCTGCAAGAGCCACCTTGCTGCTGACACTGAGGATGACAGAAGAGAGAAGAAATAAGCTGAGTCCTTGAAAACACCTTAAATTTGCTGAATCAACCGAATCTGAAGGTAGCTCTACATGCGGACTTTCTCTAACATGAGATAACAAGGCTCCTATTGTCAGTTCCAACTAGGGTTTCTGATGCATGTAACCAAAAGCATCTTAACCAATACATTAATCAATGAAAAAGAATAATCAGGAACTCTTGGAAAAATAATATGAATTAAATGGCATTCAATTTACCTAATATCAAAACATATTATAAACGAATAATATAGTATAGAACTGGCAAACAAATATTGAAAGAAAAATCAGTAGGGAGAAATAAATGTCTACTGACATATCTTAGGTCATATATGAAATTTATTATATACTACATAGTACATAGGAAAGGCAGGATCAGGAACAATTTCATATTTCACCTAAATGCTGCAAGAAATATATTTGAGACTGAATTTTCACATATCATGTCTAATTCAGAAAATTCTCTTGACTCTACCTTCAAATACATGAGGGTGTCGTGAAAGTTTCTAAGTGGTCGCCTAGGTCCACTGGCATGAACAGGGTGGGGAGAGACAAAGGCAGTTCTCCCTTTTGGGGATGAGTATTTGATTGCTGTTTTTAGAGTGCTTGAAGGGTGCTGATAATAAAAGGCAGACCATCTTTACAACAGCTTTATCATTTTCTTTAAGTTTTTACCAACAGTGCACCCCACTTACTGCCCTCTGAAAACCCCACTCTTGGTATTCCACTGCTTTGGTCTAAGCAATCTTTAATTCTGTGTTATAACATGAACATTTTTACCTGTTCTCTCTGCTTTCACTCTTGCCTTCTATAAAGTTTGTCTCCAAAGTTTCCAAATTGTTTTTTGTTTGTTGACATGTTCTAATATAAATCAAATTCCATTACCTCACTGCTTAAAACTGTCCAGTGTCTTCATGTCATACTCGAAATTTAATCTCTTTACCACGGCCTATGAGTCTCTTCATTATCTGGCTCTTGCTTATCTCTCCAAAGTCATCTCATGCCAATCTCTTATTCTAACTCAAGATTTGCCTACTGGGAACCCTCTTCCCTAAGTGTTCTACCCCAAGAGTTGTGCATAAATTCCATCCTCACATCCTGCATGTTGCTCTTTCTCAGAGATCTTCCCTCAATATCTTATATGAAATATCAACTCCCCGCCTTTTCACTCTATACATTTGCCACGACTTTTTTTTATGCCATTTATGTGTGCATGTATGAGTGTGTAAGAGAGAGAGAGGGAGAGACAGAGAGACAGAGTGACAGAATTAACTTTCTGCTTCTCCCACTAGAAGGTAAACGCAGGAGGGCAGAGACTTAAACCTTTTCACCATGTTGATATAGATGATCTCATTAATGCTCACAAAAAATGTAAGGTACTGTTTTGTTATCCTCATTTTACAGAGTAGATAATTAAGACAAAGAAGGAGCGTGTCCAAGGTTAGAGGACTAAGTGGTAGAATCTGGATTCAAAATCAATCACTGTAACTCTGGAGGCTAGTCTTACTTTCTCTATTGCCTCTGTAAACAATTACTATGAAAAAGGCCCAATACAAAGTGTAAAATACTGTTTTATTAGAACCTTGCAGAATATAAGGCTAAATGTGAAAGAGCATTAGGATATAAAGTATAATATCTTATATGTATGTATATGTATATGTCTTATCCATATACATAGTATTTTTACTATATTTAATAACAAATATAGTAATTTTATATTATACATACAGTAATTTTAGTTTCATAAGAAATGTAAAATTTTTAAACTTTTGTGATTTCATATGATTTATTTGTCTTTTATATATTTTCTATATTGCTTTTTTGAAAATGTCAGCAGTGATCATATAAAACATCTAGGACAATAAAATATATACATCTTGAAAAAATAATGCTGGGGGAGGGAAAAAAGATGGTGGCATGAGAAATCAGGTAAAAATCTCCTCACATAACTACATATAATAGAAAAACACAGCAAATAAAACTAATCCTAAAAGAGTACCCAGAAATAAGATTGAACCAGCCAGCTTTCATCTGGGAAAAGAGAACATCTCATGGAAAAGGGCAGAGTAACAAAGCCATGATGTGGCGGGACCCAAGCCCAACCCCCACACCAGCTCACAGTGGGATAAAGAGAAACAGGGAGGGAATAGAAACCCAGGACTGCTAAATACTCATCCCTGGAGATCTGTTCCAGGGGCACAAATCCACATTACATGATACTCTGAAGATTAGTGGGGCTGGAAAGAAAAGAGGCAGAATACTTGGAGAGACTGAGATTTTAGCCACTTGTGGAGAACAAGTTCCCACAACTGGCTGCTCTGCGATAAAAGAAAGGCAGGCACTTTGAAAGACTTCCCCAAAGTGAGAGGGTTGCTAAAGGGGCAGGGATTACACAGAGCTTGCCACTCAGGAGAGGGAACAGGTGGACAAAATTTTCCTGGCACACTCAGCCCAGCAGATTGGGAACTTTCAGGAGCCTCAGGTACTCCATTCCCCTGGTTGGCAATGCAGCCATGAGGCCCCCCACCATGGTAAGTAGCCTGCTGCAACTTCCTCCCATCCAGCACTTGCACACAAATCTACTGCCCTGGTCATTGCTCCAGGCCAGCCAGAGGGCAGCCCTGCCTATGGTAACCACATGGGCTTAATGCAGAGGCTGCTCACTGCATGCAGCTAACTGGCCCTGAGAACAGAGGCAAGAACTGTAGCCAGGAGGCAGGATAGAGCTCTATCCTCTTGGCAGGCACCAGTGTGGCTCACCTGCTACCCCTGCCATCGCTCCAGGAGGGCAACACCACCTACAGCAGCTTAGGGGCTTAACAGAGGTTGCTCCTTGCATGTGGCTCATGGCCCTGACAGCAGCGGTAGGCACTGTGGCCAGGAAGCAGGAAAGAGCTCTATCTTTAGGGTAGGTATCAGCATCACTCGCCTGTGACCACTGCCATCTCTCCAGGTGCTGGGCAGCTCTGAAGAGCAGAGCTTCTAGGCACTAGAGGGTACATAACCTAATATTTCTCATTATTCAGTAGGATTAAGAAAAGGTAGAACATTATTAGATCCCAAATTCCTCAAACAACCAGAAAGAGGGCTAAGTGAAAATGAAGTCACCAATCTTCCTGAAAAAGAATTCAAAATAAAATTCATAAGCATGATAATGGAGCTACAGAAAAATAGTCAAGAGCTAAGGGACGAGTTCAAGAGGGAGACAGACACATTGAAAAATACAGTAGCTGAAATGAAACATACAATGGAGGGATTTAAAAGCAGACTAGATGAGGTAGAGATTGTAAATGGAATAGAAATTAGAGAACATGAATACAAAGAAGCTGAGGCACAGAGAGAAAAAGAATCTCTAGGAATGAAAGAATATTAAGAGAACTGTGTGACCAATCCAAACAGAAAAATATTCTCATCATAGGGATACCAGAAGAAGAAGAGAGAGAAAAAGGGTTAGAAAGCGTCTTTGAAGAAATAATTGCTGAAAACATCCCCAATATAGGGAAGGAAATAGTCCACAGATTTCCCAACACAAGGAACACAAGGAAGACAACACCAAGACATATAATCATTAAAATGGCAAAGATCAAGGACAAGGACAGAGTATTAAAAGCAACCACAGAGAGAAAAAAGATCACCTACAAAGGAAAACGAATTGGGCTATCATCGGACTTCTCAGCAGAAACCTTACAGGCCAGAAGGGAGTGGCATGATATGTTTAATGCACTGAAACAGAAGGGCCTTGAACCAAGAATGCTCCCAGCAAGATTTTCACTTAAAGTTAAAGCAGGGATTAAACAATTCCCAGATAAGTAAAATTTGAGGGAATTTACCTCCCACAAACCATCTCTACAGCATATTTTAAAGGGACTGCTATAGGTGGAAGTGCTCCTAAGGCTAAATAGCTGTCACCAGAGAAAATAAAACCACAGTAAAGGAAGTAGACCAATTAATTACTAACCAAATGCAAAATTAATTCAGCAACACACAAAGTCAGTCAAGGGATACACAAAGAGTACAGAATATGACACTGAACACATAAAGAGTGAAGGAGGAAGAAAAAATAAGGGAAAAGCAAAAAAGAACATTTAGATTGTGTTTCTAATAGCTTAAAAAGTGAGTTAAGTTAGACTGTTAGATAGTAAAGAAGCTGCTCTTGAAACTTCAGTAACCACGAATCCAAAGTCTGCAAAGGCATTAAGTACATACCTATTGATAATCACCCTAAATGTAATTGGACTGAATGCACAAATAAAAACACATAGAGTTACAAAATGGTTAAAGGAAAAAAAAGCAATACCCATCTATATGCTGCCTATAAGAGATTCACTTCAAACCTAAAGACATACACAGACGAAAAGAGAAGGGATGGAAAAAGATATTTCATGCAATAGGGAGAAAGAAACAGGAGTTGCAATACTTGTATCAGATAAAATAGACTTCAAAACAAAGAAAGTAACAAGAGACAAAGCAGGACATTATATAATGACAAAGGGGTTAGTCCAACAACGGGATATAACCATTACAAATATCTATGCAGGCAACATAGGAGCACCTACACATGTGAAACAAATACTAACAGAATTAAAGGGGGAAATAGAATGCAATGCCTTCATTTTACTAGACCTCAACACACCACTCACTCCAAAGGACAGAACAACCAGACAGAAAATAAGTAAGGAGACAGAGTTGCTGGGCAACACATTAGAACAGATGGACCTAACAGAAATCTACAGAATACTTCATCTTAAAGCAACATGATACACATTCTTCTCAAGTGCCCACAAACACATGCTCCTAATAATCAATGGAGCTCCTAAACATGCTCCTAAATAATCAATGGATCAATGACCAAATTAAAACAGAGATAAAGCAATATATGGAAACAAATGAAAACAATAGCTCAATGCCCCAACTTCTGTGGGACATAATGAAGGCAGTTCTAAGAGGAAAGTATATTCAGGCCTATCTCAAAAAAGAACAATACCAAATGAACAGTCTAAGTTCACAATTAATGAAATTGGAAAAAGAATAACAAGTGAGGCGC